AAAAAAAAAAAAAAAACTTGGTTTGGGGCAATGGTATTTCCAGACTGCTGGTCATGTTCTGTTTTTCAGTGTAGGTGCTATTTATGCAGATGTGAAAACAGTGAGCTGTACATTAATGATGTAAGTTTTTCTACATGTATTTTATATCTCAAAAATTTTAAACTGTATATTCTAAATCCAAAAAAATCATTTGTCCCATAAAATTTAAATTTGATATTACTCTAAGTCTTTTTTTTTTCCCCCTCATCAAAATTCAGGGTTATTGGGGATCTTGGAAGTCATAAAGTCTAACTTCACAGTGCTACACATAATAGTTAAATACTGGGCCATCAGAAAAGTCATGAAGCATTTTTGCCTAGAGAAATATAGAAAAATACATCATCATGACTTTTCTGACAACCCGATAGCAGCACACCTGACACACAGGAGAGCACCTGGACACTGCACTTCATTACTGATTAAAAAACATCACCACTTTGCAATCACCTTAGCAATATATGACTTGAGCAAATATTAATAATGACGCTAAAACCACTGACTAAATCTTTATTGGTAAACAAGATATTTGTATGATCTCAACTTTCTCTCCACAGATCATTAATTACAAAGAAAAAATATACCTTTACAGTAGGCCAGAGTTAACTTCACTAATAATGGAACAAAGTGACACACGTGTCTCCTACTGTGGTGTACTAATACATGATACAACCCCACCTACATAACATTCCTGCCAGACATGCATATCCTGAATCTGATCACATGAAAAGAATAAAACCCAAATTGAGGAACACTACAAATTATTCCACAATTATTTTCCTCTTAAAAAGGCCAATATCGGGACCAGCAGTTAGCGTAATGGTTATGTCGCTGGACTCCCATGTAGTCGACCACGGTTCAAGTCTCTGACTCAGTGGCTTAAAACTCATGCCAGGTGCATGTGTGTGTGTGCCCAAGATCCCAAGAGAAGAATGGAGGAGAAAGGATTGTGGCATGGCCATCCCCCCTGGGGGGTGATTTCTCACTTTCTATCTCTCTGTCTCTCTTTTTGTGTCTGGTGAGCGCATGCGCCCTATAGCGAAAAGCTCTAAAAAAAAGAAAAAAAGGCCAATATCATGAAACACAAAGACTGAGGAATTGTTTCAGATAAAATAAAATTAAAGGGATTTGAAAATCAAATACAATATGAAATTCTGAATTACATCACAGATTGGGGAGAATATGCTACAAAGGGTGTTTTTTGTTTGGTCATATTGCATTACCAGAAAGAGAAGGCACCCCACCCCTGCAAAGGAGTGTGGTCACACTACAATCCCTTCCATTTCTCCATCCCATCAGGTTTTGAGGTGTACAGGTGTTTGTACCCGCCATGTTTTTCAAACTTCTTAGCTGGGACTTGAACTGTAGTAGGCCATGTGAGATCAGAGTTTTCTTTTTTAAGAGTTATTTTATTTAACTTTCTTTTTCTCTTTCTCTTTCTTTCTTTTAATTTGACCAGCAAATGACAGAGTATGAGAGAGAGGGAGTCAGGGAAGTGAGAAAGCAAGCCGCCAAGTCTGGGACTTGAAATGAGGTCAACCATGTGAGAGTCCAGCTCCTTTAACCACCATGCCATGTGCCACCCTGAGATCAGGTTTTTCTATGCAGTGTTTCATCACTGTGCCACAGGGCTGGCCCATGATATTCTTTCAATGGTTGGCAAAATTAGTACGTAAAATGTGTACTATATAATATTTTATTTTCTGAAATTGATCATTATATTGTGATTATGTAAGGATATTATGTCAGGTCCCTTTTCTTTTCTTTTTTTTTTTTTTTTTTTTTTTTTTGGAGAGGTTTTTGCTATAGGGCATGTGTGCTCGCCAGACAGACAGAGAGAGACAGAGAGACAGAAAGCAAGAAATCACCCCCTAGGGGGGATGGTCACTCCACAACCCCTTCTCCTCCATTCTCCTCTCGGGATCTTGGGCACGCACGCACATGCACCTGGCGTGAGTTTTAAGCCACTGGGTCTGGGACGCGAACCATGGTCGACTACGTGAGAGTTCAGCGACATAGCCATTATGCTAAATGCTGGTTCCCTCAGGTCCCTTTTCTTAAGAGATACATATTGAAGTACTTAGGGGGTAAGGTATCATTATATTTGTAATCTACTCTCAAATGGTTCAACAACAAAAAGGATTAAAAGTAAATGAATAACATAAGGCCCAGCACTGTGGTACAGAAGTAGTGAAATGCTCTGTAATGCTGCATGCCACGTGGAAAGCCAAGATTTGATTTCTAAGTTGACCAGTACAGATGAGAGGGTGTGTTCTCATGTTCATGGCCTGGTTGGGAGGCTAAAAGAAGATCATGGTGTGAGATGCGTTTGCCTCTGTTTTGATCCATCAGCTGCACTGTCAACTGGCCTAGTTCTGCACAAATAACTTCATTTGTCCTCCCAAATAAGATCTCTTTGAGTACTTGAGTACAGTTGCATTGTGTCTACCTTTATCTCTTTTTCTGGGGTAAAACGTGCTGTCTCTCTGTGCATTATCCAAGACACAATATGGTCTTGGTGGGTGCTCAATACACTCCTGGCTGTCTGCCAATGACCCACTTAACGCTCTACCCACAAATGCTATTATATCTGGCTGAGGTGATCTCATTAGAGCAGAATCACTCAGTTAAATCTCTACTTCTATTTCCTAAGCTAGAACCACATCAGCTGATTAATTATATTACCTAAAAAGTCAACTAAGCCCTTGTCTTTGTGCAGTCTGGGTTTTAGAAGGGCCTTAGAGCATGTCTTTACAACAGCCTTTATTTAAGTGTCAACCTGTCAAACCAATCTAACATTCTAGTCTATTAGGAAAATGTCAGTTCTGGGTTTTCACATTACAATTAAAATGACATGCCAGAATCAAAGGCAGTATCTCATCCCCCCAATTAGATCACAAATGATTGAAGGTCAAGGGTCACATCTAATAGGTCTACACGAGTGCAAATCACATGATGAGATTGTGAACCTGAAAGGAGATGTTATGTGCTGATGTGCTTGTTCATTGACAATGAGAGGGTTCATTTTACATGCATGTACAAGTTAAGGCACTGACCTAAAGATGTCTGACAAGCACTCTTATTTTGTAAATATAGAACAAGTGAGATTTTAGTTCTTAAAATCAATTAGCAAGTACTAAAAAAAACAGGGTCTTGGGGTTTGTTTGTTAGTTTGTTTTACATAAAAATAACATTTAAAAAATCAACACCCTTTAAATACAAAATTATATTGCCTTTTTCTGAACCACAAAGGAAAGAGAAACAGGGTATATGTGGAATTGTAACTCTAATTCAATATTTTTCATAAAATAGAAATTACGGATTTTTCTCTTCTCTACATTAGAAATACTTCCAAAAAAAAAAAAATGAAATTACAGCAATGCCCTGGCTACTCAGAGAATGATCCTACAGCACAAACATCTCCCAATGGAAACATCAAAATGTTTTGGTTTGAACTATTTTAGAGAAATTCCTCTGAATCACTATAGATTTATTATGTCTTCTTAAATGCAATTTAGTGTTTGTAATAATGAAGCTGGTCCATCAAAGACTTACTGTTGTCTGCTACAATAAAGTCTTCAGGAAAACTGAACCAGCCAGAGCTATCTTACCCACGATCAATGACTTCCAATAGCCACATCTCTTAGTTTCTCTGTCCTGCACTCTTGTTTACATTCATTATCATGCTTCATTAGCCTATCAGCCACATTCCCTCAGGTCTCTAATTTTTCACTTTCAATTTTGTTGAGTAAATGAAAAACATATTTTTAAAACTTGCCTTATTTTGTGTAAGTTAAGAATTTAAAAGGTCCTGGAGCCAGCAGATGGTGTAATGGTTATGTCGCTGGACTCCCATGTCGTCCACCATGGTTCAAGTCCTGGACCCACCACTTAAAACACACTAAGCATGGGGCTGGCAAGTGGCATGGTGGTTAAGGGCACTGGATTCCCACATGGCCAACCATGGTTCAAGTCTCGGACCTGGTGGCTTGCTTTCTCACTTCCTCTCTCTCTCTCTGTCTCTCTCCATCAAACTGGAAAATAACAATGATAATAATAATAAATAAAGTTAAATAAAAATAATTATTTAAAAAAAAAAAAAACACTAGGCATGTATGTGTGTGTGCCCAAAATCCTGAGAGGAGAATGGAGAAGGAATTAGGGCATGGCCATCCCCCCAGAGGGGTGATTTCTCACTTTTAGTCTTTAGTCTTTCTGGAGAACGCACTTGCCCTATAGTAAAAATCTCTCTAAAAAAATAAATAAATAAAAATAATAATAATCATTTAAGGACCAGCTGAGGTAGCATAAGCTGGATGACACTGCTGCTTGGTAGGTTAAGGCCACATAGGAGCTCTGAGATTGATTCCCAGTCCATCCCAAAGCAGAGCGTGGTGGCATAGCCTCTGGTCCCAGCTACTCAAAAGGCTGAGGACAGTGAAACAGATTCTGTCTTAAAAAAAAAAAAACAAAACAACAACAAAAGCTTAAAAACCAAGTGAGAAAACTCTCATATGGATAATTTTGTGTCTAATCAATGACTCCCAAATGATAATATCATTAGAGCATAGGATTGTCATCCCTTATTTTGGTGTCTCAGATACCACTTTTACTCATATCCTGGATCTTGGCTATATTTAAAGTAAATGCAGTTTACAGTAAAATCTATAGAAGTTACCTTCGAGCATGTCTCTAATTTCTTTGTCATGAGTGACTTCTTTTGCTTTCTGTCCACTCCCATTAACGACAGTAGTATCAGCATTATATTCTAAGAGAAGCATTACCAGCTCCTATAAAAACAGAGAAATTATGTTTGGCTACTATTAAGCTTAAGCTAAGACTTTATTACATTATAGCCCTTTCCAAATTACTAAAGTTTCTGCAACAGAAAAAACTATTATGTAAGAATCTACATTACATCAGTTCTGTCTATAGTGATTCAATTAATTATGATAACAACTGACAATCATTTAAACAAATGCCAACAACTATAATTGATTTTTAAAGTAAATTGGCTGGTTGTTCCACCAAAAGAATTCATATGGTCAACCAAATGTGTAAGTAAACAAAGCCATTATGTAAATTAAAGCAGGTAGTACATTATTCCTTTACGGTCTGTTAGGGGAAAATAATTAATTTTTAAAAATTAATTTTGACTTACAAAAAATGAGAATTATTGGAACCAACAGTTAGCGTAATGGCTATGTTGCTGGACTCCCACGTCGTCGACTGCGGTTCGCGTCCCGAACCCAGTGGCTTAAAACTCATGCCAGGTGCGTGTGCATGTGTGCCCAAGATCCCGAGAGGAGAACGGAGGAGAAGGGATTGCAGCGTGGCCATCCCCCCGGGGGGTGATTTCTCGCTTTCTATCTCTCTGTCTCGCTCTGTCTGTCTGGCGAGTGCACGCGCCCTGTAGCAAAAACCTCTCCAAAAAAATAAAAAGAATTATTTTCTAAAGTAATATAGACTGATAGGAATATTTGTATCGTACTGAAGGAAGGTTTATAATAGAGAAACTATCTCCTAAAGTGAATATGCAACAATAGAGATTAAACTAGATCATTTTTATTTAAGTGGGTAATCGCATTTTTAGAAATTCTAACCAATTGGTCATGCACAACATCTAAGAATATCTGGGTCAGTTATGCAACTTAACAAAACAGTAGAATCAGAGAAGGACTACAGATAATATTAGAAATGTGATGTTTGATTATTCTGAGATGCACAACACCCAAGAAGGGCAACTGATATCAACACTCTCTTTAGCTCTACACTGAGAATGAAATGTGTGCTGCTCTGACTTCCGAACTGAGGGAGCCTGTAACAGAAAGCAATATCCTATGTCCTTACATGTTGTCCTAGGAACTTCATCTTTCCTGTGGGCCATACAATTTCCTACATGTTTTTAAAATGTTTTTATAGTAAAAAAATGCTTAAATAAAATCTCAAAAACAAAGAGAGGAAAAGAAAATAACATGTTCATTATCCTAGTCACTATGAGTACTATAAATATTTTAGTGTATTTTTTTCTTATTTTTTTCCATGTATAAGTTTGAGATTTTCTTAAATATAAAATGTCGTTTATTTCCATGACATAGTTGTTTAATATTAAACTCCTAATGTATAATAGGTTTTGTAGTATATTAAAGAGTGTTTATGAGCACATTTTTTAAGACTGAACATTATTTTATAAAATGTACTATCACATTTTTAAAATAGAAAAATGGTTTTTAAAAGTCTCCTATTATTGGGACCAGCAGATGGCATAGTGGTTACATCACTGGACTCCCATGTAGTCAACTGGGGCTCAAGTCCTGGACCAGTTGGCTTGAAACTTACACCAGGTGCATGTGCATGTGTGCCCCAAATCCTAAGAGAATGGAGAAGAAGAGATCGCAGTGTGGCTATTTCTCTAGGGGTTGATTTCTGTCTCTCTGTCTCTCTGTCTCTCCAGTAAGTGCATGTGCCCTACAGCAAAAATGTCTCAAAAAAATAAAAAAACTCCTATTATTTTATAAAGTGAATTGTCACACAATACCTTACCATTTCCTATCTTTTTTTCTTTCTTATTTATTTATTTTATTTATTTATTTTTTTGGAGAGGTTTTCGCTATAGGGCGTGTGCGCTCACCAGACAGACAGAGAGAGACATAGAGATAGAAAGCGAGAAATCACCCCCCAGAGGGGATGGTCACGCCACAATCCCTTCTCCTCCATTCTCCTCTTGGGATCTTGGGCACGCACGCACACGTGCCCAGTGTGAGTTTTAAGCCGCTGGGTCCGGGATGCGAACCGTGGTTGACTACGTGGGAGTCCAGTGACATAGCCATTACACTAACTGCTGGTGCCCTTTTTATCTTTCTTAAACACGGTCTCAGTATGTCATGATCCTCCTGCCTCAGTTTCCCAGTAGCTAAGACCACAGGCACACACCACCACACACAGCTTTTACAGTAAGCCAGTAATCAAACCAAGGCTATGTTCTATAATTTTTTTGAGAATTTATTTAAATTATTATTTGCTTTACTTTCTATAGAGCACATGCACTTACCAGAGAGGAATGGAGAAAGAGAGAAAGCGAGAAAGCAAGCTACCAAGTCTGGGACTCAATCTGCAGTCAGCCATGTGGGAGTCCAGAACCTTAACCACCACACCACCTGCTGCCCCTTTCCTATCATTTTAAAGATAACATTTTAGGACAAGCATTTTCACACATCATGTAAATATTGGGTTGTTTGAACAGTTGTGACAAATTTGTGCCTAGAAAACCAGAAAAATACATCATGACTTTCCCGACAACCCAATAGTTCATATTAGTAAAGAAAGAACAATCCACAGAATGGTAAAAAAAGAAAAAAATTACAAATCATATATCTGTTAAGAGACTTGTATCTTGAATACATGAAGAATGTTACAACTCAACAATAGAAAGATGAAGAACTCAATTTAAAAATGGGCAAGTAACAGTGAATAATCCAGAAAGAAAATTAAGAAAACAGTTCTATTTTTAAGAGCATCCAAAAGAACATGCTTATGAATAAAAACTATGGAAGCAAAAAATTTGTACTCTAGAGCCACAAAACAAAGCTGAAATAAAGACAACATAAATAAATAGGAACCATCCTGGGATCATGGGTGGGAAGACTTAATATTGTTAAGAATTGAGAACTTGGGGGCCGGCAGGTGGTATGGTGGTTAAGGGTGCTGAAATTCCACATGGCCTACCATGGTTCGAGTCCCAGACCTGGAGGTTTGCTTTCTCACCTTCTCGCTCTCTTTCTCTCTGTGTGTCTCTCTCTGGAATATTAAAATAATAATAAAGTTAAATAAAATAATTCTTTAAAAAAAAAAAACATGAGTACTATCCAAAGCTATCTATAGATTCAATGTAATTGTTATCAAATCCCAGTAATATTTTTCAAAGGTACAGAAAATCCCATCTAAACTTAATGTGAAATTTCAAGGGACTCCAGGTAGCCAAAATAGTATTTAAAAAGAAAAAGAAAGTTGGAAAACTCAGATTTTCTCATTTCAAAGCTTACTACACAAAGCTACAATAATCAATGTGGCACTAGCATAAAGACAGACATATACATATCAGTGGAAAATAACAGACAGCCCAGAAATAAATGCTTATATACACAGTTAAATGTTGACAAGGGTGTCAAAATCACTCAATGGAGAAACGACATTTTTTGGGACCAGCAATTAGCGTAATGGTTATATTGCTGGACTCCCATGTAGTAAACCATGGTTCGAATCCCAGACCCGGTGGCTTAAAACTCACGCCAAGCACATATGCGTGTGTGCCCAGAATCCCGAGAGGAGAATGGAAGAGAAGGGATTGCAGCGTGGCCATCCCCACGAGGGGGTGATTTCTCACTTTCTGTCTCTCTGTCTCTCTGTCTCTCTGTCTGTCAAGGGCACACACTCTATAGCAAAAACCTCTCAAAAAAAATAAAAAAAGAAATGACATTATTTCCCCCAAAATGGTGCTGGGATATTGAATATCTACATGCAAAATAATAAAGTTAGACCTGTACCTTTTACCATATCCAAATTAACTCAAAATGGATGAAAGACACAGAGCTGATATAAAGTTCTTAGAAAAAAAAACAAAGGAGGAGGGCCAGCAGATGGCATGCCGGTTATGTTGCCAAACTCCCATGTGGCCGACTGGTTCGAGTCCAGACCCAGTGGCTTGAAAATCATACCAGGCACATGTGCCATGTATGCCCACAGTCCCGTGAGGAGCATATAAGGTAGGAATTATAGTATGGCCATCCCCACTGGAGGGTGATTTCTCACTTTCCTTTTTATTGTCTCTTTCTCTCTCTCTCCCGCGAGCACATGTTCATTAAGGTAAAAACCTCTAAAAAAGAAAAAAACATAGGAGGAATGCTTCATGACACTGGATTTGGCAAAGATCTCAGATATGACACTAAAAGCACAGGCCAAAAATGAAAAAAAGAAACTCAACAGAAGAGAGGTTAATTCCATGAGACTGAATTCATAAAATAGAATTTTATGACTTTTGACTAAAACATTACTGATTTTCTTCTATACTTTGTTTTCCAGATTTAAGGATTCTTGTTTTCTTTTGAGTTGTTGATAGCTTCAGCAATTTGTTAACATTTTTTAAATGAAATTGAAACATAAACTTTTCTCCCTTTGAACCCTTTGGAATTGGAGAATATTTGTGAGTATTCTTATTTTGTGGCAGTATGGTTATTTGCATACATTTAATAATACTTGTTGCCTTGCATCAGAAATTGGAAACATGGGAACCAGCAGTTAGCGTAATGGCTATGTCGCTGGACTCCCACGTAGTTGACAGTGGTTCGCGTCCCGGACCCGGTGGTTTAAAACTCACGCCGGGCACGTGTGCGTGCGTGCCCAAGATCCCGAGAGGAGAATGGAGGAGAAGGGATTACAGCGTGACCATCCCCCCTGGGGGGTGATTTCTCGCTTTCTGTCTCTATGTCTCTCTCTGTCTGTCTGGAGAGCACACGCGCCCTATAGCGAAAATCTCTCAAAAAAAAAAAAATAAATAAAAAGAAATTGGAAACACTAGCTATTGCCAGAGCTTTGACTAGAATGTCATATCTGCAGATATGACCAGAAAGTTAAGGAACTAAGGTTGATCTCAAGAGAGCCAACAGAAGTTCTTGGAAAGATGGCCTGGTACCATAAACAGTTCTGCTTGGGAGGTAAGTAAAGAATGTTACTTCCTGGGGCTGGCAGGTGACACGGTTGTTAAGGGTGCTGGACTCCCACATGGCCCACCACA